TATGTGAGACAAAATTCAAACTATTAAATTGTGAGCTGTCTCAAAAAAAATGGAGAAAGCTGACTCCTCACATGTTATGGCAGTAATTTTACTTACCACACATGGCCAATGACGCTTAACTAGATAAAATACCTACTACATTCCATACAATATTCAGTCTGCTGATAATTATAGTCCTTCTTCCTGTCACCGCTACCGTCATTCCCACTTCTAATTGAGTATCTGCAATATACTAAGTTCATATTAAAATACTGTAGAACCATATCCATTCACTGAATTTCATAATCCCTAGAGAGATGCTCAGCCATTAAACATTCATGACAGGCGCTGGAGAGATGGATGGCTCAGTGGTTAGGAGTGCTTGTTGTGTAAGCTGTATAACCACAGGACCTGATTTTGCATCCCAGAACCCAAATAACAAGCCAAACATGGTCTTTCACACACCTGGAGCCTCTGGAGTGTGCGAAGCAGAGACAGAAGAGAGAATCTCTGAGGCTTGGTGGATGCAGGCCTAGCAGGATAAATTAATAAATGTAAGCCTCAGAGTTGCACAGAGATGACGCCTCACCAAAGGGAAAAGGCAGAGAGTGGTCGAAGAAAACGCCTGATGCTCTTCTCTAGCCTCTCGACATGCACATAGATGTGTGCACCTGCACACAAACCATGCATACACATATGCACATGTAAAATCTTTGACATGATTATTGCTTTTAAAAAGTTCCAAGTTTACTACTTTACACACAGTTAGGGGAGCATTACTGGCCCTTCTACACAGGTAGTAACACGAACCATAGAGATATTATTACATGTCGCACATATATTTTCATCCTAGTGACCCAAGTTATCGTGCACAACTATTCTTGTCTTAGTTTAATATAAGGGAAGGTACTCAGTGTTTCTTTATTATTAATATTGTTTGTAGATTTCTTTTGACAAAATAGGGAATTACTAATTTTATATTACCACAGATTGATTTTCACTATGGAAAGAGTAAGGTTTCATTCTTTAACTTGAAATTCTATTACAAATATCCCACTTGAATACTAACATGAGGAGAAAAAGATTTAACATAAAATGGTAAGACATCTTTCCAATCATGCTTCCAGAATTGGTGAGAAAAGAACTTCCGAGTGGCCAAGTGGCCAGCTCGGAGCTGGTGCCCGTCACTCTGCACCTTCAGAATTTCACCAGCAGATGTTGCTGTGAGGTAAAGAAAACCTGGCCAGCCTGGATTGTCTGCGTGCCAATCTTAAAACACAATAATCCCAAGGCTCATCCCTTTGTGACCATTTTGTTCCATAGTTTAGCTTTTTGCGAGCACATGAGAAAGACGTGATAAAATATTCTAAGAAATATCTTATTTCAAAAGTGATTGGATGAGCCAGAAAATACTTTTATGTACAATATCTACTTAAAAATTCTGTGCTTGAGGAGGGATTTTGTTTTGTCAGATAATTTAAAAAGTGTGGGGATTACTTGAGATTAGTTAAGCGTATCTAGTCATTGGTAATCCATTATTTGGTGGTGCCAGGATTTAAACACTGGATTTCTAACCTGAGGGCCTGCAGTATTCTTCTGCTCTTCAGATTGATGGAGCCACAATGATCAGTAACCTGATACCTTCATAGTCATAGAACCCAAGAGTCATAAAATTTAATATATGCTATTGCTTTAGTTAAAGCTTTGACACTTTGTCATGCTGGTTCTTAACTTGCTAAAAGACAGTTTCAGAAATATATTATGTCCTGGTATATTTATCCAAAAAAAGAGCTTCCTAATAAATGATTAGAGAATAAATTAAATAGAAATCAATCATAAGATCTTATTATTTGTCAATCTAATTGCCGCTACTGTGACGTCAATTAAGCATCAAACTATAAAACAATAGAGCTCTGACATCCCATGGTAGATACTTAATAATTAAGTGTTCTAAATATAAAGTAACTAATTCTTAAAGGCCAATTGCTACTGTAATAGGCAAGGAAAATATCAACTGTGCTGTTTATGTACACAATGTCGCCCTACTAATCATACATAAATACACACTAGAGCGACCAGCTGTCCCAGTTTGCCCAGGGACATGGTAACTTTAATAAAGCCAGAACAGGACCAGAAAAATCAGTAAACTTAGTCACCCTACATTATATCAGTAATAATATTAACTATGTAAACAGTATTATATATTAGCAATATATACATTTTCATCCTAATGACTGGACTCGTCTTGTACAATTATTCTACTATGACATCACGTGATAATGCTCTCAATAGCATCATGGAGAATAAAACTATGTGCCATGGTGCTAAACCAAGGGGCTATTTTGTCTCGGCTCCACGCATTGCTTATGTCTTCTTGCTGATACCCTTACATTCTAAAACTCCTTAAGTACTGTTAGGTTTTCAGTTAGCTTCCTGAGAATTTGTAAAATATATTTTTTCATATGCACACTGGGTGTTTTGAAAAAAAATGCTTTGTCTTTTTAAGGTTTTTTTTTTCTTCTTCTAATGACTGGATCTGGATGAGAATGCAACAACCAACAATGGATTTAAAAATTTAGAGTTGTAGTTTTGTTTCATGTCAAAGAAGCCAGGAGAAAACAAGCCAGCATTAGCTTCAAGGTCACCAGACACCTAGGCTGCTACTATGTGATTGCTCTAAATTGCATGCCAGAGTGTGACAGCTGAAATTCTAACCACCGTTAACACACTCAAGACAGACATAGAATAGAAAGGCAGAGAAATCACATAGAGCACATACAATAGTTCATCAGTGAGCAGAGCTTGGCCAAGTAACACTGAGACACATTGGTGTCTTCCTAATGACTGTGTGTACCACTAACACTAGAATTCTCTCACTTCAGAAAAGAGGTACAATTGAGATAAAGGAAGAACCACAAGACCTTGAAGGATATCTATCCAGACTTACTGTGGCAGAACATGAAATGTCTACATTTATAACCCAATGATGTTGCTATTTTCTTCTGTTTCTTCATTGCCCTCAATTTACCCATCGCCAACCCATGATAGATACTTACTAGTCAAATGTTCTAACTATAAGATAATTAATACTTAAAGGCCAAATTTACTATAATAAGCCAGGAAAACATCAGCTGTGCTTTGCTTGTGTACACAAAATATCACTGTACTAATCATACATAAATACATACCAGAGTGACCAATACAATGTACAGTTAATATTGTCAGCATATGCATTTGTACTAATCTTGGCTCATGTCTTCTGAGGCGTCCAAACAGATCTAATTGGTGCAGGCACATGTAAACAGAGGAAAAGCATGCCTAACTCTCTAGGGTTGGGTCTAGTATTTCTTCCAGATGAGAATTCAAACAATATGTAGAGAATAACTACATAAGACCTTAGCATGGGGCCAATGTATCTGAAATGTTGTGTAGTATAATTCCTAAGAGTGGAAGACTGGCTTATGTATCAGCTCATAACTGTGAGTAATTTTGTTACAGACTCATAGGCCTGACTTTATAGATTTCAACAGTGGGATGAAGCTGAACAAATTCTGTGAACATCCTCCAAACTTATTATACCCATGGTGCTTTATTTCTGAAAGACACTAGACCTATGTTCCTTTCTTTTACCGAGATCAAGGCAAGTGTTTAAGGAAGCTCAGCCAGATAGATTTGCCCATGGTCCTACCGTGTGAACAAGAAGATCCCATGGTTCTTCAACTTTCTACTTAGGAAGAAGCAAGCTCGCTGTGATTCTATGCTGTTTCTATAGCAGCTGTATAAGGTTCTAGGATTCTTTTCATAGAGTCCTCAAGAGAAGATTGTGGGAGTCTTACCCAAACTCTTGAATATGCAGGGTTCTCTGGCCTCTCCATTACCAGGAAGAAAATGGATAGGCCTTGCTTCTTGTCCAGATTCTTGGTTCTCTCCTCTGGTAGTCCTACCACGTGTGTCCAATAGGTCACACATACTCTGAAGGATCTACAAATGCACAAAATCCTAACTTACATAAAAGATTATGAACTCTTTCATTTTTGCATGTTTTTTGATAACTTGATTGTGAAATTCTTAAATATGAATTTTACAGATGAAAGCTTCATGTAGCAACGTCAAGAGCTAAACATGCATCTGGCCATTGCTTACATGTGCCGTGTTGTCTTGGAGAATTTGGATAACACATGTTTGTTTGTGTTACAACAGCTCAGAAAATTGTACAAGCTCATAGACTCATCATATCATTTCTTCCTCTGTTCCTTAGTGGAAACCACTAAAGCCCAGAGAGATGAATGCATTTAGCCAAGACCCTATTTCTTACAACCTGTAGGACACTAAAGCTTACAGCAGCAGTAGAGTTTGCTTCTACAATATAAACTATTGTTGTTTTCAAAGCAGTCTCTGAAAACAACTTGTCTACTCTAAATGGAAAAAAAAAAAAGAAAAGTGTGGATTTACTTCAGAACAGCTCCTAAACTTAAGTTTTGAGGACACAGGCTAGCTTTATAAAACATTTTATTTACAGTAGACTTTTACAAAAATAAAATTAATACAAATCCATTTCACAATATAAATTACGCAACTACCTTCTCCCAAATGGAACACTGGATTATAACACGTAAGCTACATTTATGTTTGTTAATAAGTCACATTGTGGTATAAATATGGTTTTCTCATCATCTCTTTGTCACAAAATACACACCAGGAAAAATGAACAATGGGCAACAGAGCTTGTTTTGTTATTCTTCCAATATAAAAATGTCTCTAGCCAAAATAAAATTAATCAAAAAAAAGTAATACAATCGTTCCTCTGTTCAAAGTCCAGTCCTGTTTAGTTATCTGAGGGTTTATCTGACAGAGGCAGACATTAATCTGAAAGCACCACAGTATAAGGCTTAGTAACAACATCCCCGAGCCTTCTCTGAAGCCTTCCCTTCAACTGTTTATTCAGTATTTTGCCAAGATAAATAAAGACGATCTCAAGTCTCTCCTTCATTCGTCTCAAGTGTTCTTATTATGCACCGAAGTTTTCAGACTTTTCCAACTGGCATATATTTAAAGTGTGAGTCTGCTTTGGCTTCGAGTAGAGTTTCACAACGCTTAAGAAACATACTGAGCTCCTCCATGCGCCTGAATTTCTGTGACTCCCCAGCCGACAATGTTCCCCCGGATGTGGCACGATTCGGCTCCTCCACTCGCCCTTATCTCCTCTTCGCTGAGAACCCGATCCCAGATATTGAAGCCTGTGATTCTTCCAGAAAATGCTAATGTTTCGTCAAAGCCCCCACCTACACAGCAACCATTCTTTTCTTGGCCAATCTGTAGGAGTCCACCATCAGGAACAGAGTGACTTTTGGCCATCTCTACAGTGGTAGCCACCAGCTTCCCATTTGCCCACAAGGACATGCTCCCCTGCTCTGAACTCCAGGTGCCACACAGGTGGGACCACCTCCCCAGGGAAACCACAGTGTCTGCAGTCAGCTTGTTCTCCTTCCCACCCACCACAAGCACTAGGGACTGGGAACTGAGGTACAGCTGGATCTCATAGGGGTTCCACTTTGTGCCATAAGAAAACAGGATGGTTTTGTTTAATACGTCTGTGGCTTTGACCCAAATACAAGTACTAAAAGATTCAAGCTTCATTGGTCTCACAGGATGCACGCTTCCAAAAATCTTCTTAGAACGCATTGGGAAGAAAATCGCTGTTTCACAACCTGGAGTAGCAAAAGAGAATACAAGGAGAAAAAAAATTTTAGTCCCAGAGTTATTTTGATATTCAGTTATATTAGCTATAATTGATAACTATATACAGTGCTGTGTTATGATTTATGGGGCCTCCAGTCTGATCTCTATAGAGCAAAGAAAGTAAAAATAAGGAAGAAGTTCTTGGCTTATTCAGTGAAGCAACTGAATAAAGACATCTGCAAAGAGAAGGAAAGTGCCAATTCAACCCACAAATAACAAAAACCATGTTGAATAACCATCTCTCTTTCAATCTGCTTTTATTTCTATGTGTTTTATTGAACTGTTGAATCACAACTTCACAAGATTCTATTGTTTCTAAGTTTTTTTAATAAAAAAATAACTATCCTATTTCCTTCTTTCCTTTGCCATGATCTTAAAACAATAAATCTATAAAAATCAATGGATCTAACTCATTCTAGGAAGCCATTATCAGCACGTCTTTTAAAACAATGTTTTAAAATAGCCATGTCACTAGGGAATATGGTTTCATATACCACATGATCGTGGACATTGGTAACTTTGCAGAGTTTATAGGATACTACTGTGTCTTATCTTACTATTATCATTGGCTCATGTAGCCTGGGCTAACCTCATATTGGACATATAGCTAAGGATAACTTCTACCCTCTGATTCTCATGTCTCCACCTTCAAGGGACTGAAATTACTGGGGTGCACCATTGGGGCCAGCTTGCAAACTAAGCTTTGACAGGAAGCAAAGTGTAGTAATGATGACTAATGTTTATTAGGTACTTACCAATTCCCAAATAATGTTCTAACCAAATTGTTCATCACCTCAATACATCCTCATATCTTCTTTTAAAGTCTTTAGTTCCACTTTATAGGTGGGAAAACTGAGACAAAATAACCTATGCTTCTATAGTAGCTAAATTTTAAAGCTCAGGTTTTAGTTTGGTTGGTCTGTTCACAGAGGCCAACACATTATATCACCTCTTAATAGAAGACTTGAATTCTGAATTATTTATTGCTAATGAATATTATACAGCTTTTGATGAAGTTTATAATCTCACCAGCCTTTAGTATGGTCTATATTTAAGGGGTGTGGCTATCTCCTGCAAGTCTGTACGTTACAAATATACTGCACTCAAATCCAAGGATATACTTTAAAGCTTATAAATTTTATAGTCACCCCACTATAGAAAATTCTTTAAAAGGAGGGAATTCTTCAGAAGGATTTTGTTGGAGATTGTGTTTCTGCTGAGAACATTCAGAAGACGCAGGCTTTGAACGTGGACATGAGGCCCATTTACTCCACCTCTGCTGATCTCGAGGCTGCATCTGCAGCTAAGATGCTAAGGTGAAGACTTGGGAAGTGCTAAGGCCTTGAACAAATGGTGTATCTAAAAAAAACTAAGGTGGGCTAGATGTTCTCCGTAATAACCCAAAGGAGATGCTATAAGGTGGCTTTGAAAAGTCACTCTCAGAGAATTTAAGCAGTAACTGGTGACTCAGTAGAACGTGTGGACATCAAATGTCCTATAAAGTGTAGTAAATTCTCACAAGTGGCTCTGAGCTATGCTCATTCTAAAAACAAAAGTCAAACAAACATAGACCATATCTTTTAGTAATAGTCAAAGAAATATTGAAATATAGGAAAACTGTATAAGAGCAACCATGATAGCAATACCACCAAATAATAACAGAATTCTTAAAAAAAAATTCTAATCATTCATGAAGAAAATTAAAATGAGGCATTTTCAAGGTAGGATTCTTTCTCCAGCCACAACAATTAAATCAAATAATGACCATGGAAACAAAAGACTATCATTTATGTGCATTTGGCATCTCCTGGCCTCTGTAAGTTTAAAGTACTGTCCAAGGGGCGTCCACTACAACCTAATTAACTGCCTTCCTGTTTAAATAAGGCCAGGCAGTGCAGATTGCATTCCAGGGCTGCCCATGACTAAGTCTTGGAGACCCAGAATCCCTGCAGGCTATGGCAGCTACATGCTTCCATAAAGTGATATGTTAGCAGATTTTGTGGGATCCTTTTGCAGAAGAGTGATTGAGGCCCTTGAGACCTCCTTGAAATGTCAGAAACTCTCCCATGAGATGGTTTTTAACTAATAAGTCTTTGTAATTATATTATCAAAGACCAAGCAAAATGAAAACCAGGTTCTTAAGAGGCAGACCACAGCATGATTAGGAATCCTCTGGGGGCCAAGTTGGCAGGAGAGCAAGAGAGGCCCAATCAAAGCCTGTAGGTGAAAGTATTATTGGGTAATAAGCACCAGCCATTTAGAATTCGGAAATGTATACATTTTCTAACAAACAGATGAGGATACAAAGTAATTCCTCCTCTGAGGGCGCATTATATGTACATGACTAGACCAAAAGTTTGCAAAACCAAAAATCCATGCTTTTAAAGTTGTAACAAAATTATCACATTGAAGGTTTGTTTTAGATTTGACTTTATGCTTTTTCTCTGAAGATCTACTTAGGATTTAAGGGCATGGCCTTCGTACTTCAAATAGTTAGGAAGGACTGATTGTAGCATAGTTTCTGGAAAGGAGTGGACCATGTTCTGGAGTGTCCTTCCTCCTACCCCATCCAATAAGCTCCATTTCATTGGAAATACAGGATAAGGTGGCATTGTCTGTCATTGTTTCTGAGATTCATGAGGAGTACCAGAGATATTTGTCTACGTAAGACACTAATTTTCTAGAATAATCTACAACAAAACATCACTGCTCCCTTCAGAAATTTGACTTAAGGACCATATTACTAGGCTCCAATGTTCTACCTGTTACATTAACTTTAAAGAGTGTACCAAAAGGGCCCTCATCAGTTGGAAGTTTAATGGAGTTTATGTGGGCTTTGACAAGTTAGTTGCATAGTCTGAATAGTCCCTTTCTTGTGTGGCCCTGTGGGGGTAGGGGGTGGGGGCTAGATGAAGCAGATATTTACACCCTTTGGCTCCTGCACCTGGCTTTATAGGACTTGCCCCAGACCCAGCACCCCTTGACCTTTGCTATGGCACTAAACTGGGATGAGGGAACCCTGGTGGAATTCTGCTGAGTCTGCAGGAGATCCAATTAGGCTCCAGTCGGCTCAGAAGCAGCAGAGGGGGAGGAGTCGGCTGGGAAAGTCACTGGAGTTAGCCGGGGGCCCTGAAATAGTGCAGGGGAAAGGAGAGCTGGCCTAAAGAGAGTGACGGGACAAAATTAGAAGACGTGGAAATCCCTAACGGAGGGACTCGGGGCAGCGAGGAGGGCCATGGTCAAACACCTGCCAATGGACTCCTGTAATATCTGGTCGAATCCGGTGTCAGAGACCTCAACTTCCAGACTGATGGTTAAATCCCCGTTTTCTTTTGGGTTCCTTGGGCTTGGAAATACTTTTAAAAGGCGTGGCGTGGTGTGTCTGAGTTCTGTGAGTGTGCCTATAAGAAGTACCGGGGCTCTGAGTATGGTAGTCCCCACTAAAGCTTGCCTCTAGAAAAGGAGCCGAAAGTGGGCTCTACGCAGGCTGCTTACCTGCGGGCAGCCAGTGCCGAGCCATCCAGCTTTGCACTGCGCTCAGGTCGGCGCGCGTCCGCCGCAGTTCCTCCAGCAGGGCTCCCAGGCCAGGCACTGTTGCCTCGGATCGCCGCGCCTCCGCGTCCTCCAGGCGCGCCAGCCTGCGGCTTGCATCGCGACTCTGCTGCAGCAGAGGCTCCAGCGTCCTCGCCAGCCTGGCATCTGCGGGGCCACCGGCTGCGCACGGCCTCGCCACGTTGCCCGCCAGCCGCCCCAGCTCGGCCCTCAGCCGCTGCAGCTCGCCGCGGAGGACGTCGTCCGTGGCCTGCAACAGCATGCCCTCCCGCATCTGAGAGTTCTCCAGCATGATGAACAGCTTGTCCCACTCCGAGTGTTCCCGGCTGCAGTCGCATGGCGTGGCTAGAGCGCAGAATATACACATGTTGTTACCAACTTGTCCTGGCTGGCCTGGCCGTGGGTTGCACTTTTGGTGACCCCAAGTTTCAGCCTGTCTCCAGCAACCCCTCTCCTTCTAAAGATAGCTCTGAAAAAAACGTGCGTGTAAACTTCTCAAAGATGACTCAGGACCATTCATTCTTTCTAGGACATGTTAAGCTAACTGGGGAAATGCCATTTATATAGCTAAAAACAGTTAAAGAGCCGTCATGTCGTATGGCTTAACTCATTATAAATGTTACAAAAATAATTTTAAACCTCTGGCTTTTCTCAGGCAGTCCTTGCTTTTACAAATAAAGTATGATTTTAGCTTGCTTCATTGGCTACTTATGTTAATTATGTTAATTGCGCCTCCAAAAAAAAAAGTGAGTTGTGTAGTTTTGGTGAGCTGAGAAAGTTAAAATGAACTTACGGTCCTCGGTGGGATGAAGTCCATTGTCTATTTCGTTGTCCAAATTCACATACATGAGTTCGTAGTCATCCGAGTTCTCAGCCATCACTGCAGACCAGAGAGCACAAAGCAGAATCCCAGGAAGATGCATTGCTGGAGAGGCGAAATTTGCTCCGCAGCCGCCGCAGGGGAAGACGCGAGGCTCTCCAGTGATCCGAGTTTGAGCCCGGGAGAGATAGAGTGAGGCAGGAGGGACGCCCTTAATAAATGCTCCAAAGCCTGAACGGGATGAATGAGTAATGTCGGTGGCACAGCGCGAGGGAGTTCCCCTGGATTTGGGGGAGGGGGTTGGGTGGGAGGGCAAGGGAGCTGAAGAGGTTGCACAATGTTAAACCTCCAAGGTCCACACCGCAGGCAGATTAATTAGAGGCGGGTCAGGGGGAGAATGGGAGGGAAGCTGGACTTTTTCTGGTGCCCCTGAGGATTAGCTGCTGTAACCTGAAGTGCTAGCGCTTTTGGGGGTGGGGAACACAGAGGTGCGGTGCAAATTATCATTTTGGCACTTGATGTGAGCTTTCATTATTCCACAACCCTTTAAGTTATGGAAAACTTTTTTTTGCACTTTTCTTTTGGATGCTTTCTCAAGTCCAAGCTATAGGAAAATGATTCCGTGACTCCAAAATAAGCCACCCCATTAAGAACTATGACGCTAGAAGTCAAATCCATCCTGACTAACTTGTCTTTACTCTTCTGGAGTAGCAAACTAAAAAACACAGTACAACTGGGTAAAAATCCAGTAAAACAGGAAAGTGGGGACGGGAATATATTGTTCTTAGGTGCTTGAATATTCTCAACAAAGCCTATCAAGTTCCTGTTTTAAATTTAAATTAGTGACTCCTGGTGTGTGTGTGTGTGTGTGTGTGTGTGAAAATTCGCCCTTCTCCATGCTAAGTACCTAGATAGGTGTTGATAGGTCATAATAATAGTGATAAAAATAAAACATTCAAATGAACTCCAAATAAAGCAAGAAAACTACACAGTGCCAAAGATCTTGAGGGAACCACTCCCAGAGGGTCACAAAGGAGATGGAGGGAAAGGGTTATTGTGAGGGTGAGACTACCTCATGTCAGGCCTCTCAGAAGGCTGCCTCTTGGATTCCCATAGGTAAACTCTTTCTGCCCCTGCACAGAGAATCACAAGTGACTTTCCTTGCCTAGTGCCCTAGCATCTGGAACACACGCACGTACCATCCACCACAGTGAAAATGAACCCACAGTTAAACATAGCTAGACATCAAGGGAACAGGGCATCATAAATAAGAATCAACAGAGAGTCGAGAAGCGTTAGCTCCCTGCTCAACAGCTTCACTTATTTGAAATAGCAGGTAAAAATGAGTATGTTTGAAACCATTAAGGCCATCAGAAAGGGATGGTAATATGAGACAATAAGATATTGTTTAAAGGGCAGTGTGGAGCCACAGCTTCTTAAAGTGCTTCTCTCTTAAGGCTGTGGGTTCAAGTTTGATTTCTAGAGTCCACACTAAAAAGCCCGGACATCTGGGTTGTTTCCAGTTTCTGGCTATTACAAATAAAGCTGCTGTGAACATAGTTGAGCAAGTGTCCTGTGGTATAGTGGGAATAGTTTTGGGGTATATGCCCAGGAGTGGTATAGCTGGGTCTTGTAGTAGAACTAGTCCCAATTTTCTGAGAAAACTGCCGAATCAATTTACAAACAGCTTGTTCCAGTTTGTACTTGCACCAACAATGGAGGAGTGTTCCTCATTCTCCACATCCTCACCAGCATCTGCTGTCATCTGAGTTTTTATTCTTAGCCATTCTGACAAGTATAAGATGGAATCTCAGGGTCATTTTTGATTTGCATTTCCCTGATGACTAAGGACATTGAACATTTCTTTAAGTGATTTTCAGCCTTTAGCGATTCCTTTGTTGAGAATTCTCTGTTTACCTCTGAATTCCATTTTTTAATTGGATTATTTGGGTTGTTGGTGTCTAATTCCTTGAGTTCTTTGAATATTTTTGTTATTAGTCCTCAGTCAGATGTAAGGTTGGTGAAGATCTTTTCCTGTTCTGTAGGCTGCCATTTTGTCCTACTGATGGTGTCCTTAGGCTTGGAAAAGCTTTTCAGTTTCATGGGCCTCATTTATTAATTATTGATCTTAGTGCCTGAGCTGTTGATGTTTGGTTCAGGAATTTGTCTCCTGTGTCAATATGTTCAAGGCAGATGCTCAGGGAGTCTTATGGAAGAGTGAGGGAAAGAATTGAGCAAGCTGGAGGGGTCGAGGACACCACAAGAAGACCTTCAGAGTCAACTAACCTGGACCCATGGGTACTCACTGAAACTGAACCAACCAAAGACCATATAGAGACTGGACCCAAGTCCCCTACACATTTACAGCAGGTGTACAGCCTGGTCTTCTTGTGGGTCTCCTAACAATTGGAGCAAAGGCTGTCTCTGACACTGCTGCCTGCCATTGGACCCCGTTCCCTTAACTGGACTGCCTGGTTGGGCTTCAGTGCGGGAGTGTGCACTCACCTACTTTGTTGGAATATCCCAGGGTGGGATGATACTGAAGTCGAGCTTCCCCTTCTCTGAGAAAGAGGGGCAGCAAAGTGAGGTGGTACTTGTAAAGGCGGGGCTGAAAGGAGGGAGTCAGAGATTGGGATGTAAAATGAATAAATTTTTAAAATATCTAAGAAAAATTTTAAAAAATGCTTACTGCTCCTTCAAAGGACCAGAATTCAGTTCCCAGGACCCACATCAGTCAGCTCACAACCATGTACTCCAGTTCCAGGGGATCCTATGCACTTTGACCTTCTCAGGTATATATGATACATATAAGCTTATGCTGTCACACACAGAGACATAAAAATAGATAAATCTTAAAAAAAAAAAAACAAGGTTGAAGATGCCTGCAATCACACCAGAGGTTGACTTCCAAAGCCTCCACGCACACACATGTATCTCACACACACTTGTGTCTCACACACACATGTGTCTCACACACACGTGTCTCCATAAACATGCTTTTACAGTTACACGTACACACGCACACAGAAGATTGTTAAGAGAAAAGGTGAATATTTTAAGAAACTATAAGTGATCCCCATATTTTTTTAAAAAGTGAATTGAAATTATTTTTAAAAGATTAGGGATGTATCAAGTGGCCAATTTGGCAAAACCAAAGAGAAAGCTAATGAATTAAAGAGACAAGTAAGTGTCTCAATAGAAAATCTATAAAGACTATGAACGGCCACATCATGGGAGAGGAAATGAGCTGCTACAAAAGTCTGTCTGTCTGTTCTCTCTCTCTCTCTCTCTCTCTCTCTCTCTCTCTCTCTCTCTC